AAATGGGAGCAGTTTTACTTGCCAAAGGATTTGTATTTCTGTCCAGCATAGACACTGGACAGGTGAGCCAGGTTGGCGACCTGACTTTTCTCTGCTACAGTTAAGAAACAGAGTTTCTCCATAGAGTTCAACCTACAGAGAACAATCCTTGCATCCAATCAGATTGTTCAGGTATTTTGAGAACCAGCGAGGCCGACTAGCAAGATACTGAAGCTTGGCCCAGACATTTTAGCATAGATGGAGGAATCTGTTGCACTTTTTCCATCTGACCATAGAAAATCTGCAGATAATCTATAGGTGTATGGCCAGCTTTAATCTTCTGTACTGGGGATAACAAGAGACTGTAACTAGGTACAAGTGAGGAACTTATACTAGCTGCATTTACAAATACATTTAATGGTTTTTGTACACATTTTTTTTTTTTTTTAATAAACCATAGTTCAGCTTTAAACAGACAGTGACCCGCATTATAGCTCCAAGACAAGGTCCTCAGCTACTCCTGTATCAGCCCCTGGCAGATGGAAAACCCTGGCAGCATGAACAGCAGGGTGGTCCACACCACAACAATGCAGAGCACAGTGCTGTCTACAGTAACCACCAAGGGCTTCCCATTTCCTGTTAGATTGGCTATTATATGACATCCCCCCCCCATTTCTCAAACTTTGAGATTATGGAGTGGGCCAAGCTGCGGTTTAGAAAGCTGGAGTGCCTCGGACTGATATAGCAGGACTTTGTATTGGAGCCATACAACTGACCAAGATATCAGACTGTTTCACTGAACTTCCCCAACATGCCCACACGCATGCCTGCTACCTACTAGGGCACATGTGGGTGTAATATTTGTTTTTACTACAATAAAGTGATATTAGTGATTGTCTGCTAAGTTGGTGCACCTTGAAGAGATATAGGAACCACTTGCATTCCATGCAGCGATATGACCGATTCAAGCAAGGTCCTGCTCATAGTGGCAATGAATGGCCTTGTAAATTCTTGAAATGATAAAAGATAAGTCACTAGCACTCAAGCATTCAAGGTGCAAACCTAGTCTAAATGATCGTAAATACATCACATACGTCACACAGCCAATGTTTCAGGGCCATGCAGGGTTCCTTCCTCAAGGCGTCACTGTGTCCCATTAACCAAGGAACCCTGTGTGGCTCCAAAATTTTGGTTGTATGACCTATTACATATTTATGTTAAATTAGGTTGGGTTTGCACCTTGAATGCTTTAGTGCTGGTGACTTATCTTTTAAAATCTCAAAGTCAGATCACCATTCTACTGCATTGTGACTCTTCAGCTATTGCTTCAAGTGCACCCGATGTTGCAAGGGCTGCAAGACCCATGCAGTATTTGAATTTTTGATTTTATGAAATTAGCTATTTGCTTTGATCTTTGGGCAATTCAAGTATGCAAAATTAAGTAAGCTGGGGATACCTCTAGTGAGAACCATGTGTCAGTAGTTTTACAGATGTAGGCAACTAAAATCTATCCAATTTTTACACTTTTTTTTGTAAAATTTGAGCATGATTTTTTGACTTCCTCCCCTCCACACCTCCTTACAGACCTTTTTTAATGTGGGAATAGTAACAATTTGCATATAAAATCAGCTGCCTATATCACTAAATATACAGTTTGTTTTGACATATGGTTTACACTAACCTCTGCTGAAACATTTCTTCATCATATGCTCAATTTAAATTACCCAGCTTTATGACAAGTTTACTTTAATTATGTAATTGTCGTTTAAAAAAAGAAAGGTTAAAAAAGGAACTGTCACTTCCGCATGACTGCAGATTAGACACAGTATATAAATCATTTTGCCTTAGACAACAATGTGTTGCCATGGTATACTGACTTCTGTTGCTCTTCCTATAAACCTACATGAAGAAGCCTATTGAAAACATTATTACTGCACACTACTGGCAAGTAGCCAAACCAAAATTCTGTTCAGAACTCTATTAATATTACATTTTGGAGAGACCATACGGGCAAAAAGTCCTTAAAATGCAACCAAAATCTGCTGTACTTACCTCTCCTCCAGAGATGCGACATCTGCCACTGCTGACATCTTCATCCTGTCTTCTTCTGGGTTTAGCACCTTTGACCATCATGACTGGCTGGTCCGGGATGATGTAACTCTGTACATGCCATATGTTCTCAGGACTTAATTCGTGCCAGAACCAAGGCATGCCGAAAATGTACACTGAGCTGGCAGGCAGAAGAGCTTTTAGTGGAGAAGATAAACATATCTTCTGAAAATTAAAGTCTACCTGCTGGCAATTTTTGGCAGTTAGGCTTTGGTTCCACTTTAAAGAGGAACTTTACCCACCAATTTATTGTCTCCCAAAACAGTTAGTTTTAAGTCATGCCACCTGTCCATGTTGTCAGTGTCCTTTCCTTTTTTAGCTTTCATCAAACTTTAAGCCTACAAACAGCTTGTTTCATAGCTCATTGCATGTGCAGTACCATGGCAATTTCAATCCAAATAGAGGCTAAGATGGCACATTCCTTGGCTATAAGGGATAGAATGGTTGTAGTTCTGATTTAAGCATATTTCTGGGTAGATTTGGAAAGGATTAGAAAGCCCTGTCAGTGTTTATTGCTGTCTGAGTACCCAGTAAGTAGACTTACCCTCTTTTATTTGTCCTGGTGACTGTTTTCACCAAGGCAGACATTAATTGCAAAACCAAATTTGTGCTTGCCACCAGAACAAAAGGTGATGGTAAAGTTTTTAATGGGGGATTTCCTGTTGGGCATTTTCTGTAGAGATTTCTTCTCCTGTTGCATTTCCAGGACTGAAATTAAAGGGGAATATCTCCAAAGGGACACAGGCAGTGACAAATATGTGAGTGGGGCTTTAAAGAAGTCCAACTTCATTTTTTTTTTAAATGTGTCCTGTCATCAAGGAGACAAAGTACTACATGTACTTTTATACACCACTTTGACAGACGGGACAAAGTACTACATGTACTTTGTCCCATCTTCCTAGGTGATGCATAAGGCTAGCTGAGTGGTCAGGCAGGGTGCCCCCTTCCCCATCGCTGTTCGACCATGCAGCTAGCGAGGAGACAAATTAAAAATGTGCTTTGGTTGACTGTACTTGTCTCTACTTCTTAGCGATTGCCTAAGACAAGCGGCATCACTAGGAATGCAGAGGGAGGGGCCATATCCGCTACAATAAGAGCCAGTGAGAGTGAAAAATGTAAGCAAATCAGAATGAGGCTCCTGTTCTCTGTGCTGAAGACTGCCTTTTTCAGTTGGAATAGAGCTCTGCTGTGAACGTACTTGTATCATTGTATGGTTTATTTTTCTTACTACTACTGCCACTGTATTTGACATGCTCCCTCTCCTGGCATGGCTAGTTCAGTTCAGGTTCCAGTCACAGTGAAGCAACAAGAGGGCATCACAGAAATTGGACTTCTTTGTGGGACGGGGCAGAGAAGCAGAAATCCATATCATTAAAAAACAGATTTACTTACAAAATACATTGATAGATGATTGCAAAGACAAAGATTCAGATTCAGATTTTATTAGTCACATACATAATCGTACACAGTATGATATGCAGTGAAATGCTTACATGACTGTAAAAAAAAAAGGGGGGGGGGGGGGGAGGAGTGGACAGATAAGGGAAATAATCAAATATGAATATAAAAAATTAAAAATTTACATTTACACAAAATAGAATATAAGTATGAATGAAAAAAATAAAATTAAAATTAGAATTAAAATCCAAATACAACTTAATAAATAAATGCCAACTATATAAGTGTATCGGTGTGTAATGTGTAAAGTGTGCGAGTGCAAACAGCAGCAGTACGGGGTGAGTGAAATAAAGTGATGACCAGCAGTGTATTGTCCATTCTTTAAAGTGCAGATGTGCAGTAAGTGTGAGTGTAAAAAAACATTAGTCTGGTCAGTAGAGTCTATGTGGAGATCTGGTTGAGAGACCGTATAGCCTGCGGGAAGAAGCTTCTCCTCAGTCTCTCTGTGTTGGCCTTCAGGGAGCGGAAGCGCTTCCCTGACCTCAACAGGGAGAAAAGTCCATTGTTGGGATGGCTGAGGTCCTTCACGATCTTCCTAGCCTTGGTCCCGCACCGCTTGTTGTAGATTGAGTTCAGGTCAGGGAGCTTGGTACAGATGATGCTCTCAGTTGATCGCACCACCCTCTGAGGAGCTCGTCTGTTCTGCATGATGCTGTTCCCAAACCAGGTTGTGATGTTTCCCGTCAGGATGCTCTCTATGGTGCAGGAGTAAAAGTTCCTAAGCACCTTAGCGGGCAGTCTAAAGTCTCTCAAGTGTCTGAAGTGGAAGAAACGCTACCGAGCCTTTTTCACCACAGTGTTGATGTGACAGGACCATGGCAGGTCCTGCGTGATGTGGACACCGAGGTATCTGAAGCTGTCTACTCTCTCCACTGGGCTCTCGATGATCATGGGGGTCTGGTAGTTCCTTTCCTGCTTTTTGCTGAAGTCCACTATCAGCTCCTTTGTCTTGCTGACGTTAAGGAGGAGGTTGTTCCTCTGGCACCAGTTCTCCAGTTTCCTAATCTCCTCCAGGTAGGCTGCTCATTGTTGCCGGAGATCAGTCCGACCACAACGGTGTCGTCAGCAAACTTGATGATAGTGGTGGAGCTGGTAGTGGCCATACAGTCATATGTGTACAGTGAGTACAGCAGGGGGCTCAGAACACAACCCTGAGGGGCTCCAGTGCTGAGGGTGAGGGAGGCTGAGACATGTTTGCCCATCCTTACTGCCTGTGGTCTGCCGGTTAGGAAGTTGGAGATCCAGTGACACATAGATGGGCTGAGTCACAGGTGTTTCAGCTTGGTGGTGAGTGTGGAGGGAATTATAGTGTTGAATGCTGAACTGTAGTCAACAAACAGCATTCTGACATAATTGCCCTTTCTAGTGTACAGGTGAGTGTTGAGCGGTTTGGCCGGTAAGCAAACTGTAGTGGATCTAGTGTGTCTGGTAGCAACTCTTCTGATACAGCTGTCATGGCTCAGCCTGGCCAGTTGAGCCCGTACACCACCAATTACATCTGGGAAACTATGTATCTAAAGTGGCAGCTGCTAGCATAGCTTTCTGCCATATGCCTCATGATCCACCAGGTTTCATCCACATCATTTGTTACAGCCACCATTCCACAGTGAATACAGAATTCTCCCACTGACGGAAGAACTATTCTATTCTCACATCAGAGGGACATCATTGCCTCCACCCAACAGTGAGCCATTCTATGGAATCATTTTTAAAGTAATCTCCAGGTAGTAGCGCTCCTTTTGTTTTCTTGTTGTCTGTTATATACACAGGGGTTCCTCTCCCTGTTAAAGGAGACCGCACACCGAATACCACCACCAATATTCTTATTCACATCATTAGTAGTGCGCTTACCACTTTCTGGTTCGTTTTTTCTCTGAGTTGTGTTTGGCTGTCTCTAAATAGCTTGAAGTTGCTTTTCCATTGACTTGTATGGGAAGAAAATGTCCTCCGTTGCAATGTTTCCAGTACACTTAATCTTTCTACCTTGCTCTTTCCCCGTGTGGTATGTATGGTGTTGAAGACACAGAGAACTTAGTCATGGATAAAGAGAAATAATCTGCATGTAAATTTGAGACAATTAAAACTAATGGGCTTGTCATGTTTTATATTCATTAATTATGTAAATACATGTCAGTGGTATGAACATGAGCTGTCCCCATTAGGGGGATTTAACAAGTCTATTATGACAGATTTATTCCTGAGAGCTTTGCTGGAAACTTATTTTTACCTGAGTACATCTTAGAACGTAGCGAAGGAGAAAGCTCTGTGTGAATGCAGAAATATGATCCCAAGCAATAATAACTGATTCTATTAAAGGGGGACTTTATGAAAAAAACAATTATTTGCCAAATTTGCAAAACCAAAGTTGTTACAGTGCAGACTGCTTTGTAGTATGTCTATTCTGTTTTTTGCCACTACCTCCCTATCACTGTTTTTATATTGCTAAAGCCCGGTGTATCCCTAGCATAATCGCTGCCTGTGGGGAGGATGGAAGGTTTGGGGTGCTGGTGGTCACTTTGTGTGTGTGTGTGGGGGGGTGTTGGGGGGTTGATGGAGGTGCACGCAAATGGCACTCTGGTCGGCATCCTAGGGGTGCACCACCTAAGCTATAGCCGGCATCCCCCCAGCCCACTGATGTCACTGATTGCCAGGCACTAGGTGGGATGCCAGCCAGAGCATCCCAGGTTGCTAAGAGATGGGAAGGGAGATGTGTATGGCCTGGCTTTTAGGACTCTCTGGCTTGAAAGGTGGCAGCAGGCTCTGCCTGGCTCCTCCATAAATGACCCAAAGAGATGTCACATGAGGCAACAGTCTCAGGTTATCTCATTATAGGGACAGCCCTAGTTAAATCATACATTTGTATGCTTTGCACATTGCACGATAAGAATTATCCACAGTTTTTTCCAATTACAGTTTCAAAAACTCACATTTCAGAACTATGCATGCTTTCCTCAGCTAACGGGCAATCTGCATGTTTCTAGAATGTTATCTCTTGCCTTGACAATTGTAACTTCCTCCTAGTTGGTCAACCTTTACATAGGCTTTCCCCCCTTGAGTCTATCATGAATGCTGCTGACAGGCTCATCCACCTTTCCAGCCCATCAGTGTCCACTACCTTTACCTGCCAGTTGGCTTCTGCTTGTCCAATGAAAAGAAATCAAAATACTTACAACAACATACAAAGCCATCCTCCACTCACCTCCAAGCTACATCCTCAACCTTGTCTTGAAATATTACCCAACCCATCCTCTCTGCACTTTCCAAGACCTCCTACTCTCTAGCAACCTTGTCACCTTCTCCCATGCTCACTTCCAGGACTTCTCCAGGGTCTCTCCCATCCTCTGGAACTTCCTTTCTCAACCTGTCTGGCTATTTCCTACTACCGTATGTGCACCTTCAGGCAATTCTTGAGATTGGGAAGCTTCAGGGAAGCTTATCCTGCTTCTACCTAACAACTTAACTTTTAACTTCTCTATCAACTCACCCCCCACAGTTATTACCTTTTTGTATCACTTGCCTTTCTCTTTTAAATTGTAAGCTCTCATGAGCAGGGCCCTCCTAACTCTGTTGTCTTTTATTGTAATGTAATTTTACTGTCTCACTTTATATTGCAAAGCAGTTCCCAAACGGTTGGCGTTCAGTTGGGCTTTAGCAGTTGAAAAAAAAAAAAAAAAGAATATTGGAAAGATTTAGGTTTTTCCTAGGGCTGGTAATGATTAAAATTTTCGTGTTCGATTAATCGAAAAATGTTTAAATCGATTAATCGATTAATTTCGATGAATTATAACGCACATACAGATCCAACTACATTGGCCTATACACATACAGCACAGCAATGAAGTAATAAAATGAACTAGGATCACACTAATCCAGCACGTTATAAATCTCACGTGCCCCACTCAATATGGCCGCCGCTTGAGTGGGGCAACTCAGAATAATAACGTGCTGGATTAGTGTGATCCAAGTTAATTTTATTACTTCATTGCTGTGCTGTATGTGTATAGGCCAATGCCTTGGCTGGCGCTCGTGCAGAAAGTTTCTTGGGCAAACTCACCGGCTCAAGTGGCTCCGTCGGCTAACGAAGGGGGGAGGAGTGCGGTGACGTCACGGACCATCGACGTCACCAGACTCCTCCCCCTCGTTAGCTGTCACGGACATCGACGTCACCGGACTCCTCCCCCTTCCCTTCGTTAGCCGACGGAGCCACTTGGGGAAGGGGGGAGGAGTCCGGCGACGTCGATGTCCGTGATGTCACCGGATCGCCGACGGGACTCCCGGAAGTCCGGACCAGATCTGGATGTGTTTCTGCGTATGCAGTGCAGTGTGTTTTGATGCATTTTTTATGCATTCTGATGCCTTTTTTTTAGCTTAAAATGGGTTTTTAGGTGTGGTCCAGTGCGTTTGAATGCATTTGTGATGTGTTAACATGCATTTGGGGCGTTCCAGACCAGAAAAAATACTGCATGCAGCATTTTTTCCCCTGCACTGGAACTGACTGCACTGGTGTGAACAGAGCCCAGAAATACCATAAGAATACACTGGGATGCATTTCAGGTGCAGACAAAAATTTGGTGTGAACAAGCCCTCAGTGACAACAGTCACCAGGATGAATTGGTTAATTCCTACCTAACAGGGCCACAGACAGGTGTTCTAATCCCTCTCCACTCTATACAAATTGAAAAAAAAGTTATACTTCAAACCATTTAATTATATAATCATTTTAATTGCAATTATTGTTGTTATGTTATCACTGCAATGCTATAACAGCCATGTGTTTTTCCTGCAGATTGAAGCATGTAGCAGCACAGAGCAGTACGAGAAGTATGGCAAATGTTGTTCATTGTGCAGGCCAGGTATGTAACTGGCAAAATAAATTGTGTTAGCTGAGAATCTTGAACTGTGTTTTGTATCTATAATGTATAATGTTTTCAGGATGATGCACGGTGCAGTGCACATGTCTGTTTCCTAATTATCACAGCTTCAGAAGAACTTGGTGATTTTGAATATGTGTTGGAAGGAAATAACCAACAGCAATCTAGAAACCAGTGATCATTGGGTTGTGTCTTCTATAGAACCAGTGCTGATTTTTTTGAGAATTGTGTCAAAAGATGTGGGCTTCTTCAGCCACTCCACTACTAAAACTCTACATTTAAAAACTATAATTAAAATAATTGTTTAATGATTTAACAAAAAATTATTAGTGCAAATACAGGAATCTGCCATAATATCAGCCTTAAGCTAGGAAAGGGAGGGGCAAGCACCTTGAGCCAAAGTCAAGAGTTGAAATATGTTTATGGTAGATGGTAAGGGGCAGGTTGGTGACCAAACCCTATTTCTTAACTGCAATAATAAAAAGTGAAGTCACTGATCTAGCAGAGTTAAGCTGGGTGACAGAGATATTGTTATCACAAGACTAGCTGAACACAATTACTAATGAGTTGGAAGGTAAAGCATCTTGTGTACATGTATTTCAACACCGTGTTTAACTGTTTCTTGGAATTCACCTTTAAATAAATATAAATATATATACTAACACACACACACACATATACACTGAGTGGCCAGATTATTATGACCACCTGACGTTTGTAGACAAATTAGCTATAATTTTGCGCTGAAGTTGCTAGAGGGCCAGACCATTATAAATAGGGAAGCAGGTTGTTTACCACGACAGTAGAAGTGATTTGTTTCTGAAGATACGGGTAAACAACGCGATTTAACAGCCTTTGAACGTGGGATGATTGTTGGCGCTCGGAGCCATGGAGCGAGTATCAGCAAAACAGCAGAATTCGTTAAATGTTCAAGAGCAGCTGTTGTTAAAGTGTTTAAAGACTGGACTGTCAGCCGAAAATCTGGGTCTGAACGTGCGAATTGTGGCCGTCGGCGACTAGTCAATGTTAGGGCAGAACGTAGAGTGGCAAGACGGGTACAAGACAACAGAAGGGCAACAGTGCATCAAATTACTGCAGATCTTAATCAGGGATCGTCTCAAATGATCTCTGAACGCACTGTTCGCCGTACACTGCATCGTATGGGATATGGAAGCCGAAGGCCTGTTCGAACACCTTTGCTGTCTGCAGTTAACAAGATAAAACATCTCCAATTTGCACAGGAACACAAGGATTGGACAGTCGAGCATTGGAAAAAAGTCATGTGGTCCGATGAATCACGTTTCCAGTTGCATCAAGCAGATGGCAGAGTGAGAATTTGGCGGAAACAGCATGAAAGCATGCACCCCACATGCATGAGTACAACCCTTCAAGCTCGTGGGGGCAGTGTTATGGTTTGGGGCATGTTTTCCTGGCATGATTTGGGCCCTTTAATTCATGTGGAACAACGTCTGAATAGCACAACATACCAAAGTATCGTTGCTGATGTTCATCCTATCATGTTGATGGTGTATCCCGATGGAGATGGCTTTTTCCAACAAGACAATGCGCCATGCCACAGTGCTCATATTGTGCAGGAGTGGTTTCAAGGACATGAGGGAGACTTTACCTTGCTTAGGTGGCCCCCGCAATGACCAGATCTCAATCCAATTGAGCATTTGTGGAACGAAGTTGAAAGAGCCATCAGGCAGCTGGTTCCACAACCATCAAATCTCACAGAATTGGATATTGCTATTCATCAGGCATGGTGTCAGATTCCTCGCATCACCTTTCAACATCTTGTGGAGTCAATGCCAAGAAGAATCGCCGGAGTATTGAAGGCAAAAGGTGGCCCAACGAAGTACTGATGGGGTGGTCATAATGATCTGGCCACTCACTCTATATATACAGCAGTAAAATCACATTGGGGGAATTCATGGAGAGACTGGAGCACACAGTTTTCTTATGGCAGCCAATCAGCTTCTCTCTTCAATTTGTTCAGTAAACTTTGAAAATTAAAGAGATAAGTCGATTATTTGCCATGTGCAGGTGCTCCGGATTCTGTCTTTGTAAAGTCTTTGTAAATTCCCCTCAATGTGGAAATGATGTGGCACCTAAAAAACACATTAAAAACACTTTCAGGTATTCCCATTAGAAGTCTATAGGCCAAAAATGCACAATTACACTTCTGTACTACAAAAAAAACATGCATAAAATGCTTAAAAGGTGCAAAAGAAAGCCTCTAAATCACCTATCTACGCTCACGCTTAATGGGGTAACCGAAAGCAGTAAAACCTGACAAATGTTCTAACCCTTCTTTACTATATTCCAAAAAGTTCTGGCTGGCCCAGTCACACCATATCCAGTGCGGTCTGACCTCAGAACACATTGGATCACATAGATCAGGCCGAGCCGCGTTCTGGGCCGGGAGGGGGTATGGCGGTGCCATTCATCTCAATCAGTGGCGGAACTACCACCATAGCGCCCGATGCGGTCGCTATGGGGCCCGCAGCACTTGGGAGGCCCGGATCCCCGCTGCTCTCCCCCGCTTGTATGGGCTGAGGCAACGGGGATCCGAAAAAATTATGGACGGCGGAGGAGCTGCTGCCGTCCAGAAACTGACAGGAGGACAGCGGCTCGGCTCTCCTCCCCGCCTGCCGCTCGATCTTTTCCCCATTGAGAATCTACTTGATATTAAATATCTTACTATCTGCAGTTTGTGAATGAATGGGAAGCCTCTGTACTGAGTGCTTCCCATTCACTGAGTGCTGAGGCTGCAGAAAAAGAAATTGAGGACTCTCTGTCCTCAATGTCTTTTTCTATTTGAAAAGGGGAATGTCAGGGGTCTGTTTAGACCCCTAGTATTTCCCTGAAGCACCCCCAACAGTAATATTAATACATTATAATTAAAAAATAAAAGAAAAACGTGTAAATTATTAAAAAAATAGGCTGCAGAAAAAGAAATTGAGGACTCTCTGTCCTCAATGTCTTTTTCTATTTGAAAAGGGGAATGTCAGGGGTCTGTTTAGACCCCTAGTATTTCCCTGAAGCACCCCCAACAGTAATATTAATACATTATAATTAAAAAATAAAAGAAAAATGTGTAAATTATTAAAAAAAGCACAACCCCCCCCTCCCCTACACATACATAACATACACGTGCACCATATTGTGGTGTACACCAGGCACATGCGCTGCAGTGCGTTGTTAGAACGTATCGCAGTGCGTTATTTTTTTCTTTTGTAAAAAAACCATTAATTTAACTGTGGCAGTGCATGGCAAAGCTTTGTGAAGCATTGCCGTGCGTTGTGATACCTTGTGTTGTGATAACATGATACAGGCGTATATTTAATTGCAACACAAACGCCAACACAGCGCAAAAACCATTTATAACATAAATCGCTTACAGTATTTACAGTTTAGCGTTCCTTCATTTTTTTAATAATCCCCCTTTCCTCAGCCTCTCATATGTGTGGCAACATTAAAGTAAAGTGTTAGGCCTCATTCAGGCGCCATTCACACCAGGGCGGAAGCATTTTACTGTGGTTTCCGCGCGATTTTTTGAAAGAGCATTCTTAATGGCACCGCAGGCACATCCCCTGCCTGCAGTGCGATCGACCTGCACCAGAACACAAGGTACAGGAATGCCCTATGCTCATGCATGCATTATTTTTTCTGATTGCACTGCACCGGAATGGAGGGCATTCCTGAACGTTGTGTTCTGGTGCGGGCGATCGCACTGTGGGCAGGTGTGTGTCTGCGGTGCTATTGACATGAATGGCACCTCCACGCTCCCTCCTGGCTCAGAACTCGGCTCGGCCTCATCTATGCGACCAAGTGCGTTCTTGGTTTGGACCGCGCCGGAACGCACTTGATATGGTGTGACTGGGCCCTAAATGAGCAGGCGCTGAAATCCCTGAATAAGATCATTTAGTGGTTTACTTACTATTCTTACCGCCAGAGAGCAGTTAGTGATTACCTGCAGGGGATGTAAAGAATAAAACTGCCAGTCCATAAGGTCAGGGGACTCAGTGACTACAGCTCCTCGTCCTTTATTTACTAGCCCTGTGCTTGAGAGGATTAGGCAGCATTCAATGGCCTTTATATGTCTTTTATTGTTCTGTCATTTCCTATTTGACCCTCTAATGGCTTTTTATTCAAAATAAATAAATAACAGTCACCATGTGAATCACACTAAAACATGACAATAACTTTATAAACTTTTATTAAATTGTAAATTGTAATAGGATTATTATATGTAGCAATTATAAACTGAACATGCTGCTTTGTAGAATTATTTAACGATGTAAATCATTATGCAAACAGCAATGCCTGCTGTATACCATAGGCTCCAAATCAAAGTTCATCTTGCAAAATTGATCACATATTGGTTGCTATGGGTTAGTGCACAATGTAGATTGCTTCTTGCCTTACAGTGTGTCCAAAGCCCAAACCTTCAGTCTGTGTCCCAGCTGGGGATTTGCCCTCTGTATTCTTCCTCGTTACCATTATCACTGGGACTGAAAAGTTTTGAGTTATCCCTAGAACAAAGATACCTGAGGCATGTTCAGTTGCTCAGCCGCTGCGAGTGCTGAGCTATCAAACCGCCGCTGAACACTGTGCTGCAAGTCAGCGCTCAACACTGCTAACTTAGATGCAGGGAGCTGAGTGTGGCAGATAAGTGTGGAAAATTGTATTTATTAGTCAAAACATATTATCTTCCACCATTTTCCTTAGCACTGTGCAGCCGAATCGTTCAGTGAAGCTGCTGCAGCGAACTGAAGTGCTACAGAACAGCTACTCAGTGCTTGGCTATGGAACTGAATGCACCTCTGTTATGGTGACAACTGTCTAAGGCTACATAAACATGGGTGGCAGCCTCCACCAGCCTCTGAAAAGCAATCCACTGTGGTGGAGCAGTGGCTGCCTGGGGTTCAGGAGGTGATACTGCCTCCTCCAGAATGCATTTAAAAAAAAATCCCAATTGGGATTTCCTATTGAAATAACACATGCCCTCACAGTTGCAGCATGATCCCATTTATTGCATTGGTTGCATTTGATAAGCGGCAGCACCTGTAAAACACGACATGCTTTATATTTGTTGTCATGCTGCAAAGCATCGCAGCCGCGGCAATGTACACATCACGGTTCGGCAGGTGATTGGGGGTTGTAAAACCGCAACTCAACCACTTAGTCTTAACCCTCCTCCCTTGCTGCCAATGTGAATAAGGCCTAAGACCACGATGGACAACTTTGGACATATCAGGGGCCGCACTTGAGGCCCCCCATATTTACTGAGTGCTGCACGATAACTTATATTTTGATACATTTGATTACTAGTAGATTACATCATCACATTACGGATTGGTTACTATGGGCAACTGCTTCAGATTCTGTCTTTTCCAATTTTGATAAGTCTCTCCCATTGTGCTCTCCATAGCAGGAGCAAAAGCTCAGTTGCGGAGTAATTAATTAGCTTCTGGGCTTAGTGCTGGGCCATGCTTATCACCGGCAAAGGCCGCTGGAGTTCCTCTCACTTAATATGGAGCCTGATGTGCCCCAGACCAGATTTGAGGTCTGAAAGACAGCAGGTCACATTTTGGGCATTAAGGGTCTAAGAGGAGAATTACCTCACACCTCAATGTAAACAATGTGAGTAAATGATATGGAATGGCTATTGACTGGAGTTTATCCTGTTGAAATCATATTACAATATAGTGATTTGAAATATGCTTGTTTTACAGGACAAAGACTACATACAGAGTGTACAGAGCGCAGCGAAACGATGTGTGCGATTTGCCTAAATGGGGAGTATCAAGATAAGTGGAGCCGAGAAAAAGAATGTCTTCCACACCAATACTGTGATAAAAGTAAGTGAAATGTGTGTATATTTTCTTGTTAGGTTCTCAGTGTTTAGATTACTTTATCTTATTCATACTGTATATACTTTTATCACTGATTTCCTTTTTGTGGTTTCGCAGGCACACGCGATTAACAGGCTTGACATGTTTGGTATCTATTTACCCAACATGACCCCATCTTTTATATTTTACCAAGAAATTGATTAGTAATAAATGTTTCATAACATAATATTGGGGAAACAGTTTTTTCTTCAAAATGTTTGGTAATTTTTCCTTAATATAGTAAAAACATATAAACCCCCCTGTAGTGATTAAATACCAGCAAATGAAAGCTATATCTATCCCCAAAAAATAAAATTAATTTCAGTACAGCGTTTCATAACAGAACAAATGTCAGTCAAAGTACCACAGCGCTGAATACTAAAAAAATGGCCTGGCCAGGAAGTGGGGTTTAACACCGCGGTCTTTAAGTGGTTAAATTCCAAGTTAATTTTTATCACCTGAACATTTCTGTACATTCTTCATTTTCTTCATTGTATTTAACTAACATTGCTAACCTTTTTGATGTCACTTTACATTACTGTGACCTTCTGACCCATACCATTCACTCAAAGGACCAGCTTGTCAGAACATTTTACAATAGGTTCAGAGATGAAGCAGCAAAGGCAGGAAAAAGGCAGAATCCTGAAGTGTGTTAGGAATACAAATTGTTCGCAAGATAAAGTGATTTGTAAATGTGTCAAAATAAATTGTGTGATGAGCAATATCTGTGTTTTATTGTTTTGAGGCAGGAAGGTGGATTTTCTCAATAAACTGTACAGATAGGCTCCAGATGCCATTGGTGACAATGCATCAGGAAACTTTGGTAATTTAAGGCACGTCTATGACACAGTTTTTTTGCCAGATCACGTGGCATTATTTGGAATGCTTGGAATTAATTTGGATTATTTCTAATAATGGTTTATTATCAATTATATTTTACACCGTTTAAAGGGAATATGACTTTTTAAACTAATATTTTATACCTCTTCTTTTTTATTAAGATTTTGATTTTACAAATAAACATTTACTACAGGGTACACCAGGGACAAATAGAATAAGACGTTTTCTACAGAGAGCGTGCAGACCTGTTGGTTGTGAGACCCCAGTAGCACATGGTTTTGTTTTAAACAAAGTCATGTCATAGCCCATTGCCCTGTAACACGGCTTTGCTGCTGAACAAAGCCATTCATGTCAGCTGACATAGTTATCAATGACTTTATTTACAATCATGTGGCTTTGTTGATAAAGTCATGTGATCTCCATGACAGTGCTGACATAGAAACCATATTACTTTGTACTTATAAACAAAGTGTTAGGATATCATTAGTGTTAGCTCTACGACTTGGGTTACAGTTAAGGTTAAAGGAGAACTATGAGATGAGTGATTTCCACTCACCTCATAGTTCTAGCCGACCTGTGACAATGAGACTGTCACAGGTCGGCTCAGTAGATCGGGAGGTGAGCGAACACATACCGGGTTCGCTCACCTCTCGATCCTGTCACGGCTCTCTGCTGTGACAGTGCGAGGGGCTGGATTCCCCTCTCCCCGCTCCGATCTGCCAGCGCTGACTGGCGGAACGGACGGGGGAGGGGGCGGGTACAGCTGGCTCTGCCTCTAGATAGGCAGAGCCAGCTGTCACTCACGCAGCTGGGCGGATCTCGACGTCGATGTCGGGATCCGCTCTAGCTGCCGCGTCTCAGTATACTGCGAGCTGTAGCTCACGGTATACTGAGCTTAGGGTAACGGGAGGACGCTAGTTTGTGTCCTCCCGTTACCCTAAGGAGAACTATGGGGGAAAACACTGACCCCATAGTTCTCCTTTAATGTTAGGGTTAGTGAATAAAGCTCTAGGATTTGCACTTTTCAACACAAGAATAGGTTCATATGGATAACGTAAATGAGTGTTTCTGACCCTCAAGAGCAATGTAGAGCAATGTAAAGCAGTATGCAATAAAGGGCTATTTATGCATCTGAATACTGAAAAATGGCCTGGATGGGAAGGGGGTTTAACACCGCGAATGTCAACTGGTTAAAGGCCATTTGAACAAAAAGATATGTCATATTTTACTTGTAGGTGGAATTGGTAAGCTCATTTGTCACTAATTTCCTATAACTGTTGGGGGCACCATGACTTTTATAAACCTTCCATCAATTGCATTTGCCACTGCTTGGACATGAAGGCTCATACATTGCACTATAGGAAATCCATGATATAAGGAAACATAAGAGTTCTCATATGCTGATTCCAAGGGGTGTTGGGACGCAGCATCAGTTATTTAGTAACAACTTAGGTTAGAATCAGCTCTAGGGTTTGCATTTTTGACATAAGAACAGGTCCATTGAAAGCTTACTTAACTATGAAAACTACCAAAAAAAACCCTAACTGTTGACTTACCCATTTAAATTGTCCTGGGTTTGCTGAAATTTTGTCAAAGCAAAAACCTTTCCCTGTTGGTACAGTGTATGCAAACCATGGCATCTTAGAAGAAAGGGCTTGGAGACTGACCAGAAAGTATAACTAAACAGGTTATGGTGAGATGGACTTAAAGGAGAACTATGGGGTTAGGGCTTTTCCCCATAGTTCTCCTTAGGGTAATGGGAGGACACAATCTAGCGTCCTCCCGCCACCCTAAGCGCAGTATACCGCAAGCTACAGCTGACGGTATACTGAGACGCCGCAGTATACCACAAGCTACAGCTGGCGGTATACTGAGATGCCGCAGCTGAAGCGGATCCCGACAATTATGTCTGGATCCGCCCAGCTGCGTGAGTGACAGCTGGCTCTGCCTATCTAGAGGCAGAGCCAGCTGTACCCGCCCCCTCCCCGTCCGTTCCGCCAGTCAGCGCTGGAGAATCGGAGCGGGGAAGGGAGAATCCAGTCCCTCCCCTGTCACGGCCGTGACAGGATCGAGAAGTGAGAGAACGCCGGTATGTGTTCGCTCACCTCCCGATCTACTGAGCCGACCTGTGACAGTTTCATTGTCACAGGTCGGCTAGAACTATGAGGATGAGTGAAAAGCACTCACCTCATAGTTCTCCTTTAAAAGGAACCAAAAAGCCCCCCACTGAACCAGTGTGAAACCACATCAGAGTGCAGCTCTGCATGCTGATATGAAATCATCTTTAATTCATTAGTTAAACAAACACATTTTTATTTTGCTTACAATTTGTGGTCTTCTTTGGCACAAATTATGTAATCGTGCCCTAGCGTTGCATCCTGGGAAGGTTACATCAGCAGAGCATAGCTGGAAAATCTCATCTGTAATCTCACAAGATCTTAGATAAAGGCATTTTCCTCCCCTGAGATGACGTGCATGGTCACATGTCTAGTCACATGTGTCAGAGTTCCAGGAAGTAAAGGGAGATATAGCAATCTAGCCTTAGTAAAAATGTCAACTGTGACAAAAATGGGGAGAAAAATAAAAATAAGGTATGCAAAGGATAAAAAGCTGGCAATTATCTAGAAGTATGTATTTGTAGATTGCCATTTCTAAAGGTGTCTTTGTTGTCAGTTCAAAGATATGGGTAAACCTCCTCTTTAAGGTAAACCTGTAATGTGAGCTCAATATAGACTAAGGCTATAGTTCCCCAGCAAGCAACATGAGGCAACACTTCATTTATGTACTGTAGCAGACCCAAGCATTGGTTTTTGGAGGAAAAGAAGGACATTTTTCCAACTACAGATATGATTTTTAACCCTAAAAGAGAAGTGAAGGCAATCCATTTTTTGATTCAGAAGACATTGACAAGGATTTTATTCCTAATTTTAGGATAGTGGACAGAGCCATGCAAATCATTATTTTATGAACTTGGGCCAACTGTACATCCAGAAATGCTGATTTATAGCACAGATACATACAGCCAAATATTATAGAGCCATTTATTCCAAACTGCATACAGTAGTTTCAGACCTCGTCATTATCAGTGCAGTGCATGAAAACCAATGCATGTGAAACTGATAACATGAAGCTTAAAAGAGAACTATGGGGGAAGTGTTTTTCCCCATAGTTCTCTTTAGGGTCACAGGAGGACATATACTAGCGTCCTCCTGTGACCCAAAGCTCAGTATATCGTGGGATATTGCCCACAATATACTGTGAGCGCCGCAGGCAGGACGGATCCCGACATTACTGTCGAGATCCACCCAGCTGCGTGTGTGACAGCTGGCTCTGCCTATCCCCGTTTGTTCCTCCACTAAGCACTGGAGGATCCTAAAGGAGAGGGGGGAATCCCTGCGGGCAGCGGATGTTGATAGTCACTGCAGGGAGACAATCGAGAAGTGAGCAGATCGTGCATGTTTCTACTCACTTCCTGATCGATAGAGCAGACCTATGACAGCTTCTTTGTCACAGGTCGGCTCTAACTATGAGGATGATTGAAAATCACTCACCTCATAGATCTCCTTTAAATCTATACAGATGTAAAAGACACAAATGAATGCAGCTCTGTACTCATTCAAATATCATTGAATGTATTCATAAACGCAATCAGTGTTAGTACCTGAATGTGACTTGGTGTCATCATATTGCAGTCCATGCACACCAGGGCTCAAAATGTAAGAGGAAGAAGCAATGCAAGTAGCCAAAGCACTAATTGCCTGACTAGAAGTGCGTTGATAGGAGGGTAATGCAGAGTGACAGAGAAATGAGCTCAGCGTAGTGTTGCTACTTCTTTCACTGTCCATTCAAGGGCTGGAGGCAGGTCCACCACAGCCTGGGTTTAGAGAAAATTGGATGAATAATGCTGGCCATTAAACTGGACATCTAGTGGGGGAAAATAAGTAATTCAGGGGACAGCTCTGAGTTGAAGTCAAATATTGCAGCAAAAGCTGCTATTTTATTTTAACTTTTAACAGGGACACAAGTATGTAATTAATAATGTATAATAATAATACAAATTATAATAATAATATGTACATGATGGAATCCATTGCTCAATAAATATGCAGGTTTTGCTTCTTGCTTTATAGTTTTGCAAAGCAGTTGTGGCAGCCAGGTCTGGCATACCGAAAGCAATAGACTCTCTTTGTAACTATGTAAGATATTTTCTTAGCAGTTGTTAAGCACGGAGTTTGATTGATTACAGTGAAATACACATAAGTGCTAGAATAGGAATTTGCAAAATGTTGTATGAAATATAACTTTTGATAAATATGAAAAAGGAAGTATGCAAAAACACGAAAACCACTATGAATATAGCTTTCCATCAAACGCTATAATTCAGAATGTGTACAATCTATGAAAGCACTGCACACTGACTGCTGCTCATATAATACATTTTATTGTAAGCCTTGGTAAAACATGACAGCTCAGATCCTCTGGGCAGTCATGTTTTACAGAGATTTACAATAAAACATATTATCCATGAGCAGCAGTGGATGTGTGGTGCTTTCATGCATTATGAATTCTTTCGACTGATGACAGACTGTGTTCTGCACTCTGAGGCTTCTCCTGGTGCATTAAAGTAGTTCCAAAAAAACTGGAGCAGCTTGTTTATTCCTTGCCAAAATGTACACAACATAAAAATGCACTATGCATTATATAGTCAAATGTTTGTGGACACTTGCCATCACACCTATTTGAGCTTCTTGGATATCCTGTTCCAAAACCATGGTTACAAATTTAGAATGATCTCCTCCTTTAAAGCTGTAACAGCCTCCACTCCTTTGGGAAGGATTTCCACAACAGGTTTGGAGTGTGTGTGTGGGAATGTGTGCACATTCAGCCAAAAGAGTATTTCTGAGGTCAGGTACTTGGACTTGTTGGATGAGAAGATCTGGCCCGCAATCAGCATTCCAATTTATCACAAAGGTGTTCATTAGGGTTAATGTGACACAAAAGTCAGGAGTTACACCTTAACAATGCATTCAAGTACCTTAACTATTATAAAAAATTTAATTTACTTATGCAACACTCAGCTGTAGATCCTTAAATCATCTCTGAATTGGTGCTGACACTGTCCTTCCTTCTGGAGGGGGGCTACTTTTATTCCTCATGGTTCCTGTGTGTGTTGTAAAGTAGCCCCCTCTCCAAGATGGACTACAATCTCACATTTGGTTTACTCATTTGTATAGAAATTATAGTCTATCACTGGAGCAAACTTTGCTTGGAGCTGTGGCTACTTTACAACACACAGGACCATGGGGAACAAAAGTAGCCAACTTCCAGAAGGACAGTGCCGGCACCAATTCAGAGATGGTTTGAGGCTCTACAGCCGTGTGATACAAAAATAAGCTACATTTTTGTTAATAGGTAAGGTATTTAAATGCATTTTTAAGATTTAACTCCTGAGTTTAGTGTCTCTTTAAGGTCAGGGCTCTGTGTAGGCCACATGAGTTCCTCAAAATTCATCACAACTTGTCCTTATGTACCTGGCTATGTGCACAGGGGCACAGTCATACAGTAACAAAAATGGCCATCTCCAAATTGTTGCCACAGGTTTGGAAGCACATAATTGCCTAAAATGTAACCTGTAACATTAACTGTACCCTTCACAGGAAACTCCAGAACTCAGTGTCTACGAATTTTTGACAATATAGTGTAGTTTCCTTTTAAAGTGAAACTGTGTTGACATTAACTCCTCTACACTTCAAGCAACCATGCATGGCAGCAGAGCTGTCCCTACACTATTTGCTGCCTGAGGCAGGGGTGGCAGGGGATGTTGTACTGCCAGTGTATGGTCGTTCCAGGAGGGGTTTGCTATCCGTTAATGGTCTTTGGGGGCTGGGCAGTAAGTTGTGAGAGGTTTTGGTGTGCTGCCAGCGGCTCTGTTCGGTGTTCCTCTCAGCTCCTTGCAACCAGTGACTTGTGGCCTGTGTGCTGCATTGTAACTGTGCTTACATAGAACATGCTGACAGGAGGAAAGAACAGTGTGAGCAGATGGGTGGGCAAAAAGGAGATGACTTAGGTTTTTTCTTATTTGTGTAGCGCTCACCCCCGAAGGAGCCGCTGAATAACCGGATATTTCTATACCCCTACACCAATGTACCGCCCAAAGCGTGGATCCACAGCACACCAACACACCTTTGAAGAGTTTTATAGTAGATTTACTGACAAATCAGAGATGAACAACTATGATACAATAGTAATGACAGAAATCCCCAACAATAATGTGTATCAACAGGCTGAGGCACTCTGCGACCCAGTAACTGCAGCTATCTGCTGTCAGTACTGAGGTATGTGAGGCCAATTGTCTCTAAAGGCTTTCCCCTGAATGGGGTGTATGTCCCTTTAAGGTCTCCCTTTAAGGCCTGTTCACATGAGATCAGGTCCTGATCAGCAGACGTGGAGCTGCTGATGCATTGCGTTTTTGGCCGCGTTTTTGATGCGTTCCAGCAAAAAAAAAAAAATTATTTTTTTTGGCTGGAGTGGGGCTGTTAGTATGTTAGCCCTCGTTCACACCTGAACATTTTGTAGCGCGTTCTACGCTCGACGAACGCTCTACAAAGCGCTCAAACATGAAAATCCCATTGTTTTCAATGGGTCTGGTTCACACCTTGGCGTATTTCAGCCCGTCCCTAACGCTCTACAAAACGGCCCACGCCTGAAAAGGTACATGTACTACTTTGGGCCGTTTTAGTTGCGCGTTTCCATTTGGATACAGCCAAGTAGCCCTCGGAAACGCGCGTTTGTCGCGCAATTTTTTTACCGTGAATCGCGGTAAAAAAAACGCGTGACAGACGCGCATATGCAATACGCCTAGGTGTGAACCAGGCCTTAGCTGCAGCGCAGTGCGTTTTTGACGCGTTTGCGTATCCTGACCGTATCCGGACCTGACAAAATGTGACATGCAGTATTTTTTCTGTCGTAAGCTGAACGGACTGCGCATGTGAGAACTGTAGCCCATAAAACACATAGGGATACATTGGGATGCATTTTGAGTGCAGCAGCGTACGGAGCCGGTCAGCACACAAAATGGATGTCGTGTGAACAGGCCCTTAACAATATCCGAACCTCCCTATACTACTGGCCAGTAGTGGTGTCCTAAGCTAGCCGGCGTTGGGGCCCTTACTGTAGTGCAGATATGAACAGCAAACAGGTTGTCAATGTGGCCAAAGGCAGGAACTGGGCGTCCTCTCTCTCTCTCTTCAGTTCAGGCGACATAGAGGGAAGTCATCTGGGTCCCCGACAAAAGGTCCTCAGCCATCCAGGATGTTTGCAGTCCTCTCAATTGGCTCCGTCTGGCTCCCTCTCTCTTTGCTGGGCTGGCTGGATAACTACGGCGGCTGGTTCAGCCATGCGACTAGGCCTCGGTTCAGGCGCTCGAACACAGTCTCTCTGGTTCAGCAGATGAACATCCATCCTTCAGAGCGCTGCTGTACAGATTCTGTGTGTCCCAATCTGTCAGGGGGAATCACACAGCTCTGCTGCATGCAGTCCTAATTCACACAGGGCCCCACACAGGCCTGTCTTCTCCAGATCCCCCAGTCAGACTGGGCACGCTCAGTCACTGCAGTACATAGCCCTCCTCCTTCCTCTTGCACAGCATCCTGGGAGTGATAGTTCACAAGAGCTCTATTAGCAATCCCCAGTGTCAGCTCTGCACTGCAATCCCCACAAATCTCTGCTTCAGATCACACACAGGGACAAGTTAACTCCTTACAGTTAGGAACAAGAATCGCTGTGATAGCACATACTGTATATGTATATTATATAGGGGCTACATTTGCATCAGAGAAAAGTCAGATCACCAGACTGGCTGTACAGGCTGTGTGTATCTCAGGACACACACTATTACTATGCCACCCTGATGAAGGGACCCTGCGTAGCTCCGAAATGTTGGTTTTTGCACGTGACGCACCTCTTCATATAAATAAATACAAACACAAATTTATAAGTATTCATCAAGTGCTGGTGATCTTCATTCGTATCAAGACTTATTTATGCACGGCGCCATCCGTGATCATCACTGCGAGCACCACCATTTACTGTATGGTCCTAAACGCTGTAAGGAGTGCAGAGGGTACATCTGGACATTGCTGTATCTCAGGACAGAATAGACAGAATGTAAGTTGCCAGCGAGAGAGCAATGCCTCACTCATCCAGCCAGCAACGAAGCCACACATACAAAGCAGCCAAGTATTTATCTCAACTGCCATGTCCTGCATCTTGCTGTTCTCACCAGCAACAGCACTAGTGCGACAGAAGCCTTAAAGTGACCACAGGTTTCTATGTAACTATTACAATCAAAGTTTAAATAATTGTATTTCCTTTTTGTGTTTTGTGTTAAAAAACAGAATTCAAGGCCCATTCACCTGCAAAAAACTATGTGTCGGGCTTGTGGTGCCATTCAATTTCAACGCCACCCTAAATGCGTCAAAGCAAATCACGCATTTTTGCACAAAGGGAGCTCACAGCTCCAGCAGCATCACAGAATCAAACAGCTGCATTAGTGCCTTTGCTGTGATTGAGGCACGTAGGGCAGCTTATTGAAAGGAATAGGCTGCCCAATGCAGACGCGCAACAAATGCACAAAAATGCTACATGTGTTCTTGGCTTAATTTACTTATATAGGGTTAGGTTTAAACACATGGATGTAAAAAACATTTAAATTTGCCTTTAGAGGCACTTGCAGCTGGATCCTTACCTCTCAGAGATCCTTGATTCCATGCATAACCTAAATGTTTTAATGTTTGTCTTTTTTTTCTTGGTTTCTTGCATTTAGTTGGTGCAATTCTTTAAAAAATAAATATTGCTAAACATGACAGTTTTTTTTTAGCTGTGTGAGGTGAAAATCAAACCTGTACTCATCTTAGTTGTTACCCGGTATATTTCTCTTTCGCTAGACTTAGGGTTCCAGAAGATAAGTGAGGGGACACAAAAACAAAATGTAGAATGCGTTTGTCAAGATGGGAAGCATTGCTCCAGCACAGAATGCGAGACTTGTGTGTTTAATACACTCTGCGCCCCAGGATATGGAGTCACACGGAAAGGTGAGAGAGTGCTGATTATTGTGAAAGAAATGTCTTGGCCAAATGATACATCTTAAAATTAAGACACCTGCATTGAGGAAAATATGGAGGCTGCCCTCTCCTCAAAATGCTTCTTGCCTGGCTTTCATATGATAGGGAAATGTATAATAGATTTTTGTTAATGCAGCATTTCACAATGCAAAACATGTGCAGTGTGAGTCCATTGACACCTATGGTACTTGTGCATTATGGTGCCATTTTAAATGAATGGCACTGCACAGAGTGCCTTGTGCTACCTTTGCAGTAAAATGCAAATCAGTGTGATGCTTCGGTCTGAAGGAGGCCTAAATGCTAACTATGCTTTCAAATATCCTAATGACCCCCCTCCCCATGCTAATAAACCCTGTCGCACTTAGCAGGCGATGCTGTTTTGGGGACTACACAGTATTGGGTGATGCTCAGTCAGAGAGGCCACCCTGCAGGTTTTTACATTGGGACCTATGAAGAACCCAGTTCCATTAGAACTCTGCGCCTTGACATTGCATCTTACTGGCCCCCTACCATTGCATGCCTGAATCTCCCAACACCCTCTACACTGCACTCCAACACCCCTGACTCTAAACCTCCCTACTTCCCAGCACCCTTGTCACTGCATATCAACACACCAGACACTACACCCCTGACTTTGAACCTCCCTGCAGCCCTGACACTAGACCCCAGCACCCCAAACACTGCACCCAGATGGTAGGCCATTACTGGATCTCAATCCCAGACAACTAGAATGTGGTTTGGAGCTCAAGGGAAGGTCCCAGTATTAGTATAGTGTTCCTAATAAATTGCTCTGGAAACATAGCGGCATATAGTACCTAAAAAATGTTTGAGTACACATGTCAAACTGAAATACATCCTTTAGATAATACACTTGCAATGTGCTAATTAATATCAATCAAATTAATTGGTCTGTTTAATAAAACTACACAAGCAATTAGCTGTCTGAATTAAGATTGCTGTCAGCAGCACGGCAGCTTGGTCACTGGTATTGGGGCCTCGGGCATAGCAAATATAAGCCAGGAAAATATGTTATTGTTTAATTTAGTTGTTACTTATTAACATGAGGTTCCCTATACAAGGATACAATAGTGGGTTTCATCTGCAAAGGGGTTTTTGTTTTGCATCATGGGAAAAATACACCCAACTATGCAAAAATAATACTTGGTAGTCAAGGATACTAAAAATTACTATTTAGCCTACAGGGCCCAATTATAAAGAAGCAGTATGATCTTTCCATGAGGGTACTGATAAACAGCGGCATGTTTATAACACACAGTGATGTGCTTCAAAAATGTGCATAGCACTGTCCTTACTGTGGAATCCGAGATTTATTTAACAATTAAAATAAGTACTGTGAGAAAAACAGCCTGTCACATGACCTGTCATTTCACATGACTGGGCTCCTCCTGTTCTCTGCAGCGTTATGTCTGTATGGTGTGCCCTACATTTTATGAATCGGAAGTTGTATTCTATGCATCACACACCTTACAGGCTTTCTTACAGTTAAAATGCAACTGAAGCCATTTAAAAAAAAAAATTCTGGAGAGGGATTAGAACATCTGCTTTATATTGCTGTCTGTGTCCCTGTTAGGCCTCATTCACATGAGAAAAAGCCGGCACGTACAGCTCCGTGCTGCGTGCAAACCCTTATCGGGCAGCTCCCGTGAAGGACAGGTGCTGCGTGTGATTAGTACGCAGCCCCTGTCCTTCTCTATGGGAGTACGCGGCCGTACGCCGCCCTACGCTCACCCCAAGTGCAAGTCCGTACGGGTGCGGGTGTCGCGGCTCGGACGCAGACAGGATCCATCCTGTCAGCGTACGAGTATGGGCACCCACACGGACGTGCACGGCGGGTGAGCATTGGGGCGACTTACGGCCGCGTACACCCGTAGAGAAGGACAGGGGCTGCGTACTAATCACAGTACTTGTCCTTCACGGGAGCTGCCCGATAAGGGTTTGCACGCAGCACGGAGCTGTACGTGCCGGCTTTTTCTCGTGTGAATGAGGCCTTAGGGAGATTCATCCTCTCTATTTGTCCTGGTGACCGTTATCACTGAAAGTAAAAGAAAATCCCACATTTTGAGTGGTCACCAGAACAGGAATATACAGGAAATCTTCCAAAGGGGACACTAGTTCTGGTGAGTCTGCTAAGCACAAGGGATTTCCCTCACTTTGTGGCTTCAGATAGGAAGTGAAGACAAATCTCCCCAATAGGACACATATGGCAAAAAAAAAACCCCAACAGAGGTTATAGCCCTCTCTTACTCTATCCAAAACTAAAAACAATTTTTGTCTGAAGTTGTACTTTAATGCAGTGAATAAGATGATGACGCCACCATATTGTCATAAGGAAATAACAATCTTCATCAGTGCACCTTGGTATAGAGCCTTGAGAAAGGGTTCCTGCAAAGTCCCGAAACATCAGCTTGTAATACCTGATGCCTGTTGCCTGTGGCTATCACTATACCAAGGTACATTCTTGAATGACTTGCAGGTGTAGAATTGAGTAATCACTGTGGGGTCCAGTGGATAATGGCATCTGCTTTGCACTATTAATGGTCCGCTATGTGTCATGCAATCATTCCCTGTTTTAACAATCTTTTTGTTTTTTTCAGCTGAAAAATATTCAGACACTGAGTGTGCAGTATGTCCATACGGAACCTTCTCTAATAGTACATCGGATACAGAGCCATGTAAGGATTGGCAAAGGTAAGACCTATGCAGAATGGCATGTACATACTATGCAAAAAACATTAGCATCTTAGCACTGCATCGCGGTGCCTTAAAGATGAACTCTGGGCAGAAATTGTATTAACTCTTCTAGTGGGGCAACCTTGCACTGCAAGGGTTAACTGCTTGTTTTTTGCCTAGGGTCCAAAAAAAAAGTTATACTCACCCATTCTTTGCTAGCAGCGCTCCTTCCAGCCGCTCTCTTTCTTCGCTGCAGCGATAGTATGTCCCATGGAGTCCTCATGTCCTATACACTGTATTAGACATGATGACTCGAGGATTCCTAGACCACTGCAGAGGAGGGGGAGAAATGCTCCAAGGATTGGGTGAGTATAACTTTTTTTATTTTTTACCCTAGGCAAAAAGGAGCAGTTAACCCTTGCATTGCAGGGTTAGCCCCACTGCAAGGGTTAATAACATTTCTGCCCAGAGTTCTTCTTTAATGAATAGCCTGCCAAAGCACCACAATGCAAGCAAAACTGGCATGCACCATTTTTTTCCAAAGCAGCGCACCTAATGCACATTCCATGCAGTTTGGTGCACTGGAGGCCGGGTGTGCTGCCCACTACTATACTAGTGCATTGGGTTGTCATTCAAAATGTATTTAGCCGTGTGGTACATGCGTTAACATTTATGTGAATAGTAATTTGACCTTAATGACAAAGTTTCTGTCATAAGGCAGAACACTACAATTATCAGCATTGAGATTTGTTTAGTTAGCTGCTGTGTGTACTAAGGGTGGAAGTATCAGTTGGGTCAAATGGAGCACATTTCCATTGCTGGCTTAGGGGAGCTATTCATGCAGCTGTGACTGTGCACATATAAGAGCATTCTGTAGACCCAGATGTGTCTACATCCTCCAAGAACAAGTACATTTTAAAGATTTTATTTTGGGATGAAGGATGCTTGAGATCCTCTATAGGCCTAATGAAGCAAGACTGATAATCAATATTAATTACAAGCTGAAAAATGTTCATATCTTACAGAATTTACATAACTGCTGTGTATGCGAGAGCTTCTGGTAAACCCCGATAATCTCGGTACAGCTACTGCAGCAGTGTGCATATCAGTGGAATGTAGAATATTCCAAAGTCTCTTTTTTAGTGTAAAGTTCCCCACATGATGGGGGCTATTCACAAAGCTGCCGAAGGCAGCCGAGTGAATAACCCAGCCGAAGTGAAGTGAGCCGAACAAAGTTCAGCTATTCACTACGGCTGAAATCAGCTGTACATCGGCTGGCTTCGGCTGCACTTTGGTCAGCCGAACATGCTCTCCATGTTTGGCTGAGCCGAAGTGCAGAAGGACTTTGACTCAGCTGATCCAACATCTGGATCGGCTGAGCCAAAGCTCCTGCAGCTCACTCGCTGACGTTCGCCCCTAATCACATAGGGGCCGAACGTCAGTGAGTGAATAGCCGAAGGCCGCCGAGTGGCATTCGGCTATTCTGCTTGGTACCTCCGTGGTACCGAGCAGAATAGCAAATCAGTGAAAATAGTTTTTTTTTTAAAAAGGTTACAAATTTTTTCAAAATATAAATAAATAGTTAAATTAAAAAATAAATAAAGATTTTTTTAAAAAGAAAAGAAGAAAAAAAAAATGCAAAAAAAACCCCAATTGGGCGGAGCTAGCAGCGACAACTTGCTCCTCTTAACTGTTTTCTATTGGCCGGCACCTGCTAGAGCCTTCTAGCAGGTCCCAGCCAATGAATAACAACTGGGCAGAGCCGGCCGTGACGTCACAGCTGGGTCCACCCAGCTGTCATTTGCAGGCCTGGTTCACACCTAGGCGGCATCGTTTTTGCGCATTTTTATGTGTGTGAGCAGCATATTTGCGCGTTTATGCACATTTTCATGCACATTTTTGGATGCGTACATGAAGACACGCATTTTAACTGGCAGCTTATGAAACGTTGTGGGCAATGGAAGAATGCGCGTTTAAACGCGCAAAAACGCTCACGAAAACGAGCAAAATGCTTCTGCCGTGCGTTTTTGGGCCTTTTCATTAAAGTCTATGGAGCAAAAATGCGCTTTTAACTGCCCAAAGAAGCTCATGTACCTTTTCGTGGTGTTTGACGTTTTCCTGCTGGTGTTTTTCTGCTCAGGTGTGAACAAGGGCCATTGAAAAACATGGGATTTCTTGTGTTGGGCATTTAAAAGAGCTTTTCCAACTGCTCAAAAACTCCTAGGTGTGTACCAGGCCTTATTGGCATTCTGACATTACATCGTTAAATGGAAGCCAGTACGATGAATATAAATTATAAATAGCAGTTTCAATTTCATTTATTAATAAAATGTTGTAGCTACAGGCAGCAGTAACTTTGAAGAACTCAATCAAGATAACTCTTTAATTGCAAAGTGTTGAGTAAATAGGCTATTTGATATAAATGTGTGTGTTTTTTTTTTTTTATGAGGAAAACCTGTTTCGGCTCCATAAATTAAATCTGCTAATTTCCTTCAAAGGAATTCCAAATGAACAAAATGCATAAATTGCATCAAACAGTAATGCTGCTTGCTTTAGGCCTACTGGTTAATAAAACATCAGTCGATTAAAGTTATCCCCATCACAAATAAAGATGGAGGCAGAGTGTATATATCTGTTTTCACGGCAGTAAAGCATATTTCAGTTCTATTGGCTTTTATGTCCGTTAGCCTTATTTAGTGTTGTATACGGTGGCTGTGCTGATCACGTTCTAGTGCAGCAATGCTGGCTAAGTGCAGTGTTTTAGGTGCTGTGTTTATATATATATATATGTTAATGGAATAGAGAGTGGCAAAGTTAAAGCTGAACTCCAGTCAGACATCTAAATACATACATAAAATACAACATTGAAACCTGCCAAAGGATTTGATTTCTGTCCATGCAGCCCTGAGATTTACACAGTCCGGTCATGCACAGGGCCGGATTTACTCTCTCTGCTTCCCCAAGGCCAGGTTCCTCAATGCGCCCCCCTGTATGCAGGCTGCATACAAGTGATCTCGGCGACATTGCCAACATCACTTGTACAGAACAAGCGGCGGCTTCCCCGCTGTACATTTAGCCCTGCTTGCCCAAAGCAGGGATAAATGTAGAAAACAACTACTGGTCCGATGCACGGAACTGCATATCCCGGGCGTTGGGAGATAGGAATTCCACACCCCTGCTGCCCCTCTACTCCCTGCTGACCAAGGCTGGATTTCCCACAAGGCCAACCGAGGCCCAGCCCTGGTCATGCAGAACAGCCAGGCAGATTACATCAGTTTACAGCTACCATTTCTGTTAGTTATAGGCTGTAGAAGAGATACAGCGGTTCTGATTTGTACCTCCAGCCTGCTCATTGGAGAATGAAGGAGCAGCAGCTGACTGTTGAGATCATCCCTCTCTGCTCACTCTGCTCCATCCTCCTGTCAGCTGCTTCCTTTCAGCACATTTGCATGTAATACACTTGACTGAATCCTAGTACTTCCCTTCCTTCTCTCAATATACCAGTGGTGCAAAGGGCTGACACCAAGTCCGTTGATTACACTAATTGCATTTAAATAACACATTACATTTTATACTAATGAATAACAATTTGTTTTATTAATGAGTTTAGATTTAAAAGTTCTAAATGTACAAGTCAAGATTGAAAACTAATCCATGAGATGAATACAGGGAGCATAGCCTACGGCTTATCGGTTCAATTTTTCATGCAGACATTTCTGTATTGCACCACTTCACCTTAGTCTCTTTTGTTTAAAATCTGGTGATCTAGGATCTCACCTGCTGCTGATGCTGGAACACCCGTCTTTATTTCAGCCTTTCCTGCCTTCATTCCTTCCCCTGGCTGGGTGAGAGAGGACTGCCAAGGGAAGCCAATAAAGAGCCCTACTGAGCACAGTTTAACCTGTTTCCATCAGTGTAATGCATATATGCGGCAGTATGGTGGGTGCCGCCTTAACACTGAGCCGCTGCATAAATGCGTCAGCTGGCTTTGCTGTTTTGGGGTGCACAGTGACTAAGCTGACACCGACATCTCAGTTACCATTTACAATTGGGATCTATTGGGACAGGTTCCCAATCATGTGACTACTGTGACAGCCAATCATAGCGATCAGATGATCTGGAAGCCAGCCTCCAAAGCCTGGCATTCACAACCCCTTAAAGGAGAACTATGAGGTGAGTGCTTTTCACTCACCTCATAGTTCTAGCCGACCTGTGACAATGAGACTGTCACAGGTCGGCTCAGTAGATCGGGAGGTGAGCGAACACATATCGGGTTCGCTCACCTCTCGATCCTGTCACGGCTCTCTGCCATGACAGGGGAGGGACTGGATTCCCCTCTCCCCACTCCGATCCGCCAGCGCTTACTGGTGGACGGACGGGGGAGGGGGCGGGTACAGCTGGCTCTGCCTCTAGATAGGCAGAGCCAGCTGTCACTCACGCAGCTGGGTGGATCCAGACATCGATGTCGGGATCCGCTCCGGCTGCGGCGTCTCAGTATACTGTGAGCTGCAGCTCGCGGTATACTGAGCCTAGGCTAATGGGAGGACGCTAGTTTGTGTCCTCCCGTTACCCTAAGGAGAACTATGGGGAAAAGCACTGACCCCATAGTTCTCCTTTAAAGGGCCTCTGGGAGTGGGCAATGGGGGGTTAAGCATTGTGTATAATTTGTGGCTCAGTGATAAGGGCAAAGTGGCTGGCAAATTCAAGAGCATTCACTGAGCCCCCATATGCATGTGCACTTGAACGCCCCTCTCTATTGGTGTACATGTGAACAAAGCTTAATTTCCAGCGGCTGTCTTTAGGTTACTGGAATCTGGGACTGTCCTAGAAAACCCAACACTGATGGCTGCCATGAGGCACTTTTTCATATATTACATTTATCCTCAGGCTATTTGTGGGTTACATGCCATGATTTCTAAGCACAATATGTAATAACTTGTTATGTTTTTGTTCTAGATGTACTAGTTCACAAGAAGAGAGCCACCCAGGAAGTACCAATACGGATGTTGCCTGTGGTAAGTTGTTCAAAGTGGGGGTTTTAAAGGGAAACCATATTATTGTTTACATATATAAACTATATTGCCAAAAATATTGGGACACCCCTCCAAATCATTGGATTCAGGTGTTCCGTGAAATTTTCTTGCGACTAAATATTCCGCGGTCAACCGTAAAATGACAGAGTGGGGTCAGCGCATGCTGAAGCGCACAGTGCGCAGAAGTCGCCAACTGTCTTCAGAGTCAATAGTTACAGCCCTCCAAACTTGGTGTGACCTTCTGATTGGCACAACAACAGTGCATAGAGAGCTTCATGGAATGGGTTTCCATGGCCGAGCAGCTGCACCCAAGCCTTACATCAGCAAGTGCAATGCAAAGCGTCGGATGCAGTGGTGTAAAGCACACCGCCACTGGACTCTAGAGAAGTGGAGACGTGTTCCCTGGAGTGACGAATCACGCTTCTCTGTCTGGCAATCCGATGTCCCAATACGTTTGGCAATATAGTGTAGCTCCTATGATAGCACTCAAAATCTCAAACACAAGTAAAGGCGAATTGTTCAGTCTCTAAAAACCTCAGGATGTGTTGTATACTTTATTACTGGCATACTGGAACTGGAACAATCTTGAAAGCAAATTGTCCTAGAAGTTGATTTGATCATTAGATTCTATTAACAATGATCACTTATCGTTAGTCATTATACACTGTGGAGGTTCCATTAGCTAAAATGAGGGAAATGACAGCAAAAGATATAAGTGTACATTCCCATTAAAGAGGAAGTTATATCTGCATTCACTTTATAATCTGAACCCATTCTGTTTGCATTTCACTATAGCAATGCCAAGACACATGTCTGGTATTAGTTCCTCAATCATGCTGCCGAAATGGTGATTGATCGCTAACCATTTGAACAAATGACTCCCTATGCTGCATAGTGGACTTTAACAGCAATTCATTTGTCATGACCAGTTTAACAAAGTTACAGCAATATACGACCCGGTGCTATTAATGCTTCTGTATACTGCTGTGTAGCTCACAGCATAGGCTACTTGTTCCATCGTTGAGTACTAGTACTGCTCTTAGTTCCCATTCACACTGTCGCAGTGTATTAATGAACACGCGTCAACGTGTACAGTTATTCACACCAGTAAGGTGTGCTGCAGTGTATGGAGAATATGATAGGAGGAGAGGGCAGAGTGATTGAGAGATGAGCTCTTAAGTGTACTGCTTTTCCTTCACTGTGCAGTCACAAGGTGGCGGTGGGGTAAAGACTTGTGAGGGCTAGTTCACACTAGCCACAGTGCGTTCCGGCCCGGATCTGGCCGGAACGCACTGGATCGCATTGCGGCTGGCTCACTTTGTTGTGGGCGGGAGGGGGTGTTTCTCAATGGCAATGAAGCCACGCCCTCTGGCCGCAATGCGATCGGCCGCACAGGCACATCAATGTCTGCGGTCTGGTCAGAAAAAATGCTGCAGGCACTATTTTTTCTGACCGGACCAGAGCGGAATGCAGACATTGATGTGCCTTGTGTTCCCGTGCGGCCGATCGCATTGCGGCCGGAGGGCTGTGGTGTAATTCACTTCAATGCACTGCCACGCCCCCTCCTGCCCCATAACAATGTGGGCCGGACGCAATGCGATGCAGTGCGTTCCGGCCAGAATGCACTGTAGCTAGTGTGAACTAGCCCTAAGTGAAAGTGAAACAGCAGCTCTCCCTTCCCCCTCCCTCTCTTTTCATCCACATCCCTCTCCCCTCCCTATCTCCATCCATTCTCTCACCCCAACACATATCCCACCAAACCT